TCAGTTAGCACTGAGACACTGCCACTAGCTGGAAGCTAATCAGTTAGCACTGAGACACTGCCACTAGCTGGAAGCTAATCAGTTAGCACTGAGACGCTGCTGCTCGCTGGAAGCTAATCAGTTAGCACTGAGAAAAGTTAGGACACCCCCTGTGGCTGTTTGATTGTTTGATTTGAGCAAATTTTCATTTTAACAAATTTGAAATGGAGGAAAATGCGTAAACATGTCAAGCAATAAGGAGAGTTTGAGGCGGAGTTCTCTGACATGAAGGCCAGATGGAGGATGGTCCCAGACAAGCAGAGACCAGATGGGCTCAGCCGGTCCAAGAAAAGATCCTCACACCAACTAAGCATGGAGGTGGAGGTGTCATGGATTGGGGACTCTCTTCTGTGCTTTAGCTACCGACATGGGGTGTCCTGACCTTTGACCTGACTTCATGATGTGTGAGTCAGAGTACCGTCTGTGGGTAAGACAAGGGGCGGAGTCGGTCGTAGTCCTCCTGTCCGGCCGTGTCCCAGAGGCCCAGGTTCACCGGTTTGCCATCCACCATGACATTGGCAGAGTAGTTATCGAAGCTGGAGGAGACAGGATGGACAGTGAGACGGATCCAAAGCGGTTAAGAACAGAACCCAGCTTCCACTCACAGGGTTAGCAGAACCAAATGGACCTGGGAGTTTGTTAAAGAAGACAAAATGATTCTGGTCCAATACCAGGGAGACAATCCTGGTCCAGTTCTGAGAAACCAAGGTTTGACAGGAGAAGGACCAGAACCGCCTATTGGGCCTCAACACCCCAAGGTTCCTACAAGCAGGAGCAGTTTGACCAAAAGGGTTAAGATGAAGTTCTGCTGGTTAGAACTTTGTTGTGTTTGTTAAGCTGGTAATGATCAGATCAAAGGAATCAGGTTTTCAGCACCACCAGAGATGAAGAGTCGGTACCACCTCCAGCTGGTAACGACTCTCCCAGGCTGCCATTAAACTGGAATAAACTGTTTCTGCTCCAGTTCGATCAGTGGGACTCATGGTGGAGGGGTCCATTGGTGTGTGCAGGGTTCTGCAAGGTTCTGCAGGGTTCAGGAAGTGTGTGTGTCTCACTTACACAGTGGGGATGTATTCTCCAGGGAAGGCGTTGGTGGTGTAGCTGATCAGCAGACAGGTCTTCCCCACAGCCCTGAAGAGAAAGCAGACAATGACAGTCATGTGATTTAGACCGAATCAGAACACGCCTGGAGGGGCCAGCCCTCCCCTTTAGTGGGCGGGGACTAAAATCCATACAACTGATGATGACGACTGGACCCAGCGACCTGACCCAGTTAGTGGCTGGAGGGGCCGTATATAGCTGGGGCCCAGTTTTGGTCACTGACCCAATCCAACCATGTTGGAGATACGAACCAGACCTGAAGCGGACTCTGTGAGGTTGTTCTAAAGGTCCACATTATGACCCAGAACCAGCAGCTCTGCTTGGATCATGGCCGTTACTGACCCGGGCTCAGACAAGATCCGATCCGCTGGTTTGATGGGAGCCGAGGTTCTGGGAGAACTATATTTGGGTCTAGGGGCTGCAGAGCCCCTAGAACCGGACTTCTCACCACAGAACCCAATGAGAGCTGAAGCACGGCGGCTCAGGTGTCATGATATGGGGAGGGAGATTGGCTAAAATGATCAAGCAGCGACAGCACAGTGGTTCTGTGGCACCGACCCGGTATTGGACTTCTAGAACCAACAGATGGTCCACAGGACAGGAACCTTTCTACTGGTCACATCTCTGCGGTTCGTCCGGACCATCTAGAAGGTCCTGATGGATCCAGATGATCCAGCTTTCAGGGACCCTGAGCCTCAGCAGGTCCCTAATGGAGCAGGTTGATCCAGCAGATCCAGAACTCTGGTACCAGCAATACTGAAGGTACCGGGTCACTCATCTAGAAACCATCTTAGAAACGCTTATATCCATCTGTCTTCTCTCACATCTGGACCAGAAACCCAAAGAGCTGAACATCCAGAACCAGCTCGGTCCAGAACCAGCTCGGTGCCATCATAACCAACCTGGGTTTGAGCTCTCTGCTGGTTAGAGATGACATGGACCAGTAGCTTACTGGTTCCATCCCAGTACCAGTATAAAGCCCAGCCAGAGAGGTTCTGGTCAGGGGTCCATGGTCTGGATGGGTCTCTGGGTTCTGGATCTCCTCAGTCTGTATCAAACCAACATCCAATCTACTTTTTTTTTGACAGCCAGATGACAGCATCCGGCCTGGTTCGGTCAACCGACACCATCAGAACCGCCAAGGTTCTGGACGCGTCCCGCTACAATAGCTGGGCCTGTCTGCATTCCTCCGCCTGCATCAGCGCTTCATCCAGGGGCCTCCGGCCGCCGCTCAGCCTCGCTCTGTGCCCCGCAGAGCGAAACCGAACCGAACCTTAAAAGAAGGAACCGGACCCTGGAACCCAGGCCCCGCAGCATCCCCCCCCACACCCTCCCTCCATCGCATCACATGAGCCCATCATCATCATCATCATCCTCATCTTCATCAGAACCAGCGCCCTTACCCGTCTCCGACCACCACACATTTTATGGCCTGCATTTGGACTGGAGCTGGACGCGATCAGGAAGCGGTGCTGCTGGGATGAACGATCCGACAGTCCGCGCTCAGGGATCGGATGAGAGCCGCGGGTTCGTCCGCCTGAAGCCGCAGTGAAAGAGGTCGATGACGAACACTTCCGACTTCCTCCGAAAACAGCCGAGTGCTGTTAAAGGGCCAGCGCGAGAGGCTCTGAGGATGACGTCACACCCAGCCTATTGGGTCCCAGTGGGATCTGGGGCTGCTGGTCAGACTGGAGCAGAAACTGGTTCAAAGCTGGATCCAACCGACTGCTGTCCATCCGTCTGTCTGTCTGTCCTTTCTGTCCATCCGTTCCTCTGTCTGTCCCTCTGTCTGTCCATCCATCTCTCTGTCTGTCTGTCTGTCCCTCTGTCTGTCCATCCCTCCCTCTGTCCGTCCATCCGTCTGTCTGTCTGTCCCTCTGTCTTTCTGTCCTCCCAGAGGGACGGCTTTAAAACAAACTGGAAAACAGGAAGAACAATATTTCCTTCTCACTCTACAGCAAAATACTTTATTAGTTTTATTTCTTATCTGTTATTTTTATACACCTTTCTAAGGTCCTCATTGTGTGATCAGTTCTACTATAACCTCTATCTGCTCTAACGCCACTATTTTCCCATTATGGGACAATAAAGGGATTCTCTGCCGGTACACTTAAAAAGCAATTTAACAATTTTATATCTTTACACACTGTGTCCCTATTTTTGAGTTAATAGATGCTTTATTACTACAAAATAGGAGGATCTCATTTTTAAATATTCTGTATAAACTGTTCCTAAAACGACATGCAACTCTCATTTCCTAAACTAGTTGAGTTTTGGTGATAAAAAGCCCTATAATGCAATATTTTGCCAATTAAGGCTTTTATTTTGTTGAATACCTAGTGTCTTAATTTGAAAGTTTAGCAGAGCTGTGTGCCTATCATAATGTCACAGTCAGTAGTGAAATAAAATGCATCATTGTGCAGTAATCTGCTGAGCAGTATCAGACGTGCTGCTGCGTCCTGTTTGGCCCCCATCTGCCGTGCAGCGCTGCTCATTCTGCAGGAGCACAGATGGATCATGGCAGCAGCGGCAGGAGAGAAAATAACTGAATGATCCAGTCCGCTGAACTCTGACTAACTCTGCTCCTCCAGCTGAGCTTGTGCAGAAATGCGTCTTTGCGCGGCTTAGCTCAGAGTCTGCGCTTTACGCTCCACTCTCATGGTTCGCTCTCAGCAGTACGGCTCTTCCTGCTCTCGCTACTTAATAAACTAGATGTGGCTGATCATCCTCTACCAAGCGTTAAAAAAAACCCTTTGACTAACTCTGGATTTTATTTCTTCCAGCTCACAAGACGTGATGCTAAACATTCGTTAATTTCTACCAAAAGGAATCCCTAAATTATATCCTAGCAAATATTTTGTATTGCTTTCTGGATAAAGATCCAGAAGAATAGGTTCATAGATCTTTGAATATTTCTCTCTCATTGTTCTCATTTCTATTTAAATATGATGGAAATATTTTCTTGTATTGTCATTGAACATTTTCTCTGTTTCCTTTAAATATTTTTTATATTTTAGTAGCATATTCATTCAGTTTAGGTCTGGGTTGCCATGGCATTATGAGGCAGTTATGGAGAATCTCTCTGTATTTTTTATATCAATCCCTGTGAATTTAAATCTACTTTGACCCCTGAGCAGCAGGAACCGAGGGGGAAATTGAAGAAATAAGTAGAAAGAAGAATGTTTTTGTTCTGTGTTTAATGCATATTTCATAGTAGATCAGGAAGTGTTTGCTTTGGGATGGAAACCTTGGATGTCTAAAACCATTCCTTTATTGGACATTTTGTTAGCTTGTCTGTCTGCCATATTAACCAATAGGATGTATTGAACTAGATCTGCTATTTTCACAGCTTGCGTGAAACATTTTTTTATAAAGTAGGGCATTAATTCATAAAAAGTTTATTTGAATTCTATCTCAAAAAAGTTTAAATCAAGTCTAAATCAAAGTTTTCTGCACAACAGCATTCTATACTCAGCTATTGTAGCATCTAGGATAGAGCTGTCAGTCTGGGAAAGAATCTGGTTGGTATTCCAAATGATAATGGTTCACTTTTTTTTTTTTTACAACACAAAACTGACTAAAACTAGACTAAAACCTTTTTTAAGTATTAATCAACTAAAACTATCACATATCGTAATGACTAAAATGCGACTAAGACTAATATTGGTGAAGACTAAATCTAAGATGGCTGTCAAAATAAACAATGCTCATAAGAAATCCTTTCCTCTCCACTCTTCTGTGTAATGTCATCATCTCTAAATCTGATTTTCCATCAAACTTTGTGGGGCCTGAAGGATGATTTTGGAGAAAAAATGTAGCACTTATTACTATACCGTCTAACGCTTTGAGAAGCTGAAGGATTTATCAACCATCAGAGCTTTAGACCGTTGGTGACTGTATGACCAGCGAAGCCTTAAAAATAATGTTTTCTTTTTCACCTCTCCCATTCATTCCTATAGGATTTTTTGGGGCATGGTTTTTAGTCGCCATGGTAACTGGAAAAGCCAATAAAAGTGATAGCACCCGGAATCCCGAGGCTGACGTTCTGCATAGTGGGGGCTCATCCTACGGTCCGAGTCGCATCAATGTCCGCAGAATAAAAACGGGCCTCCATGCAATGCATTGCTAAGGTAGGCACCGATGATGATGATGATAAAGCCCAAAAATATTTATTTATTTGGTTGGACAAAATCACAGAGCAGAACTGAAATACATTTGAAAAAAATACATGTACAAATATATATATTATAAAGATGAAAGCAGCATCTGTAAATCATGCAATCTGCTTCACTTCTAAAAACGTATGGAGTGAATTTCATTCTATTATTGTTTCAAGCAAAAATATGTTTTATATTTAGGGAAATAAAAAAAATAACAAAAACACATTTTAAAAGTGGAAAATGCATTCCAATAATGAAATAGTTTTAATCAAAATTAGGTTTTAGAGTAACCTTGTATTTATACATTTCTTACATTTTATTTTTGAATTCAGAAATGTCATTGTTTTCCAATAGTTTTCCAGATCCCACCTCCTTCCCTTCCAGCCAATCAAATCGCTCGCTCTGGACCAATTAAAATGCATCTTTGCTCCTAATGAAATGCATAACATTCAATCTGAAACAGAGAAATTTGAAAAAATAAGTCAAAATCTAAAATCTTTGGAAAAAAATATATGAAAAATAAAAATTGAATTTAAAAAAACTACATTTGAAATATAATATTCGAAAAAACAATGTAGAAAAAAATCCGAAATATCTTTTAAAACCGTTTTTGTTTGTTTGATGAAATTATTTCTTAAAGTTTGATTTCTGGACTGCATTTTCTTCTCTATTTTTTTATTTACCAAACCTATTCTTTGCATTAACCAATAATGGAACAAATTTCCCTCCACAGACGCTGATGTCACTTTGAAATTGTCTCCCAGGTTTGCAGTCAGAGCAGAAGAGCAGCTAATGTCGCCGTATAAACCTCCGTCTGCAGCAAACTGAGCTCCTTTCATCCACAGGAGGCGTTTCCGTCTCCTCGGAAACCAAATGATCCGATAAAAACAGGCAGTGAAGCTGGTTCAGGCATCCAAACATTGTTTAGGGTGACCATGACCATCTCTGCTGTTTGTGGTTGTAACTTCTGCTCAGGTTACCGTGGAAACGTTGTCAGGAAGTCAGCATGTTCGCCTTCAGATCTCTTCCTGACGTCGGATCTGTCAGCAGCTCCTGATGAGGGGAAGGTGAGGAGGAGCGTTTCTGCTTCCTGGTGGGTCGGTAGTCGCTGCGTCGTCAGCGTGGTTTTCCCAGTCCGCCTCCCAGTTAGTTGTTGGGACTGCTGTAGCGTCCCAGAGGGGAGCCCTGAACATAGGTGAGGATGGCGCTCTGCAGATAGCTGGTTCTCTGGGCCTCGTCCTCCTTCATCCTCTGGATCTCCGCCTCTTTCAGGCGCAGCTTCTCCAGTAATGAAGACTTCTCCCTCTCCTTATCGAGGAGAACTTCTTTGTGATCATTTGTGAGAGCTGGGAAATAAAAACACACAAAGAGCCATGATTCCCTGATTTCTGCACAGAATGGGTCACCAGCACGACCCTAATTAAGGTGGAACTAACTTCCCCTCGCTATCTTCTGTTTCTGTTGGAAGAACCAATCAGCTGATTGGCTGAAATCCAAACTTCCTCTGATTGGCTCAGACAGCTGAGCAGCTCCTTAGATACAGAAACTGAAGAACAGTTTCTTCTGTCTGAAGATATTGATTGAAAGCAAAAAAATTCCAGTTTCTTTTTTTGGGACCACGAATGCATCAGAAACATGTTTATTGTCAAACACGTCTTTAGTTAGCATTGGTTAGCCTCAGATTTTCAGAAACATTTTTTTTTTGGGTTATTCATCTAAAAGATAAAAAAAACCCACCAAATATTCATCAGATGAGCTCAGATTTTATTCAAGTATGATTAATTGACGTAATTAAACATCCAACAATGTGGGGGTTTATACGCAGTATAACAATTTGGCATGAAATTAAGCAGTTTTCCCTTTTTAGCTCATTTATGATGACTGGAACTATGTTTTTTTATTAAATGTTCCAAAATAATGAGAATTTTTTTTGAATGACAATGTCCCAGATGACAGAACCTTCACCAGCAGATGAGAAAACATCTGTTTATAAAGTCAGCTCCAACAGACCTGATGTTGGAAGCTTCTGATTGGTTCATTCCTAACACCTGACCTCATGGAAACATCCAGAGGAACCAGGGGGAGAACCGTGGACCTCCAGCAGCCCATACCTGAAGATTCCTCCTCCATCTGCTCTGAGACCTGATGGGATGGTCCAGCCATCAGTGTTCAGGACAGAGACGGGTTCAGAGTCTAGGACAAAGTGGACCTTCAGTCCGGTACCTACATTTCCTGAAGCTCCGCTCAGAGAGGAAGAAGCCATGGCATTACTGAGCACAGTATGACAGGAAACTATAGTTAGGAAGGTGGAGCGACAAAGACCCGCATCTAAGAGGAGAGGATCCAAGAAATCCCTAAAGCAGAACTGGAGGCCAAAGAATCAAAGAAGCAGCATGCATAAGGTAGATCATTGGTTTTCAGACCTGCTGCATGTTCTAGAAGTCTGCAGCAGACCTGCATCTAATGACTGAGTCCCTCCTCAGCAGCCACGAGGAGCTGCAGGGCCTGGTTTGAAGAAAACCACTGAGCTACAGACCTTAAAGAACAGACAGGAATCATAGAAAGACCTGATGGCAGCAGCCTCAGCCTGATGAGTCGATGCAACCAGCTGGTTTTCCTTAGATAGAAAACTTTTAATCAATCCGACTGGATGATCTGGTTGATCTGGATCTGTAAAGTGACCTGAGGTGACATGATGTGAACTGGAGCTATAGAAATAAACTGAATGGAAAACTGAACTGGAACTGGGAGCCCAGACTGGGATGGAAACAGCTGAGCTGTTGGGCTCTGATGGAGCAAAGCTTTTCTAGATGCATGAAGATGGTCCAACCTTTCATCTCTCTCTCCAGGGCAAAGATCTTTGCTTTCATTCCCTCCTGGGCCGTCCTCTCTGCTTCCAGATGTCCAATCTGTTCCTGCAGCTCCACTCTGACCCGGCCCACCTCAGCCACCTTCTCCTGGTCTTTGCCCGCCAGGTCCTGGAATCACATTCAGGTGAACAATGTCGTTTTCCTCTCTCCGTACAGAGAGTTTAAGTTCTATGAGGTTCACAGACAGATCTATGCTGCAGCTTCTACTTGCATTGGTCTGGTTTTTTGGCTGATCTTGTGTTTAACAGGCTGTCGATCGTAAAACTGGAGCTTTAAGGTCCATTTCAGAAGATGGGACCCGATGAAGGACCTGTTAGGACTGTGTGTGTCTGACCTGCTGAAGCTCCTCGATCCGGCGCCGCAGGCCGTCCAGTTGGACGCTCTGATGGCCGTTCTTGGCCTGCAGCTCTGAGATGGTCTGGTTCTTCTGGGAGCAGAGCAGCTGCATCTCCTGCATGGAGGAACGCAGGGAGCCCAGCTTCTCCTCCAGGGACGACATCTGCTCCTGCTGCTCAGGGCAGAGAAGGTGGAGATGAATAAGACAGACCTTCTCTCCTGGTCAGATGTTATTAGCCTACCTCCTCCAGGCGCATCTGGGCTCGGACCTTCCCCAGCTCCTCCTCTGCCTGGGCTCTCTCCGTCACCAACGCTGCTTTAGACCTGCTCAGCTCCTACAGAGACACACATCCATCATCTGAGGAGGTCCACGGACCGTTTCCAGCTCAGGACCAGATGATTAGAAGTCCTGACCTCCTCCAGCCGGATCCTCTGGGCCTCCAGCTTGAAGATACGTTCCTGCAGAGCCTTCTCACTCTCCTCTAGATGCCGACTGATTTGCTCCACCTATATGAGAACTTTGTTAACCAGGTTAGATTATATTATATTCAGAGAGCCTCTTAGATGTTCTAGTGGCATCAGGAGACCGGCTGGATGCAGCTACCAGACCTCCTCAGAGGAACATGATGAGCACCTCTTTGTGATGAAGAGTCTCCATGTCCTCCAGGGTCTGCTTGGACCTTCGTTTCTCTGATTCCACACGGTCTGAGGACAGATAGAGGACATCAGATGGTGTTCTGCTTCTTCAGTCCAGGTTCTGAATGCTGGCTGACCTTCTGCTTTGGTCAGTCTCATCCGGAGCTCCGTGGTGCTGTTGGTCAGCTCCGTCTTCAGCTCAAAGACCTGCTGCTGCTGAGCTGAACACCTGCACTCCAGCTCCTCCACCTTTAAACACATCAAGACCTGAACATCTGCTCTGCTGCTCAGCTTCTAGCCAAGAACTGGATCAGAACCTTTCCAGGCAGCAGAACCCTGAGCCACGGTTAGTGACAGAGACAGAAAGCTTTCGGTTCAGAGTGTGACCTTCAGCCACAGATGGAGGTCACCTGCTTCTTCATACTTTACTGCGCAGCTGGACGTTGGTCTCCACCAGGTTCTGGATCTCTCTGTGGAGCTTCCCCTCTCTGGCAGAACTTTCCTTCATGCAAAGAAGAGAAACACAGACAGAAGATCAAGGACCACGGTTCGGTCAGGACTCCAAGCCAGAACCTGTGAAGCTTCACCGACCTCCTCCTGCTTCTTCCTCAGTCTGATCTGCTGCTGCTTCTCTTCTTCTCTCTCCGCCTTCATTCTGGACACAAGTTCTCCTAAACTCTGGCTTCTCTGCTCGGACAGGACCAAGGCTGCTTCTGTCATCTGCAACCTGCAGGGTCCAACAGAATCGCAGTCAAGCCCGGTTTTTTCCTACAGCAGCAGAAGCTTCTGTTCACAGTCCATCATGTTGAACAGAAGCTTCTATGTTCATAGATCTTTGTGAAACACATCAACCCAAAGTTGTATCTACAGTCCTGGTAAAAAGGAAAAACTCTGGTTAATGTAAACAAACGATCCAAAGAGATTCCAGAAATGATCTGAGGCGACCCCAAGATAGAAAAACTCTCTTTAGAATAAGAGAAGAAAATGAGGCAGAATCTAAATGCACCGCGCTGGATCCCTCCATCAAGGACCAACAAGGTCATGCAGGAGGACAACGACCCCAAACACAACAGAGGCTGGAAGACAGGAAACAGTCAGGCTCGATGGCCATTCATCATTAGGCTGAAACATTTTTTGGGGTGGGCTTCATAAACCAAAGTCTGTAAAATGACAAATACGGTAGACTAAAAGTAAATTCCCTGCATGATGAAACCTGTGATATCACTTCCTGCTTTGATTCATGTGGTCCAAATCAGAACCAATATGGTCCACAAGCAGCTATAGGTTCCTTTCACTGCGAGCCCAGGACACACCGTGACATCATCCACAAGATCAGGGGTCGGCAACCCGCGGCTCCGGAGCCGCATGCGGTTCTTTAGCGTTCCCCTTGCGGCTCCCTGGAGCTTTTTCAAAAATTTCAGAAAATCGAGGTTTTTTTTCTTCTTTTGTTTTAATATGGTGTGCAGGAGGTCAAACAAAAAATAATTATGTTTTCCATTGCTGTAAACATTTGTATAATAAATAAATTCAAACAATTATTTGTGTCATAGCCATAGAGATCAGTGGTCATAACTTGCAACCAGCGCTGCGCAGAGCCAGGCTGCTGGAGCGTCTCGGACCATGGATCCCAAAGGGGAAAAAAGGAAGATGGCTGATGAGAAAAGAGGATTCAAAGGATGGACCGAATCATTTGCTTTCATTATCAATGCGGAACGATTGCCCGCATATTTGCTTGGTAATGAGAGGTTGGCAAAAAATAAACATTTGGAAAGGCATTTCCAGGGAAGGCAAGCTAAATATAAAGCCAGCAACCAAGCTGGGAGGGAGAGAAAAATGGTGATTGCAGAACTTCTGGATAAATTAGAGGAAAGCAAATGTAGATTTAAGAAGTGGATTACATCTCCAAACTCCACTACTGCTGCTAGTTTGGTTGCAAGGATGGAAAACCGTCCACAGATCCAACAGGTAGCGCTCTGATGCAGTGATGGGAACTTTCTTCCATTATTTTCCCCAAATCCTAAAAATATAAATCCCACCAAAGAACGATGGTGATGGAGCTCTGCTCTGATGATGTCACTTCCTGCTCGGTTCCTCATGACTCAATCAACTCCTCCCAACAGAAACACGTCCACCATAGAAAGATTCCTTTATCCTGTTTCTATCATTTCATCAATGCAACAAAACTTAAACTGTGCGGTGAAGGGCGGTTAAGCGGTGAGAGCGTTCACTGCTCGTCCCTCACCTCATGCTGCTGTGTGACATTTGCTTGAGGATAAAGATTTAATCATGAATGCTTATTATATATTTAAGCCCGTATAGTCAATTTCTATAGTGGGATAATACACTTACAGCCGGTGTTTCCATACGAGGCATGTATAAGACTTTTACATTTTTGCGGCTCTAGACAGATTTATTTTTTGTATTTTTGGTCCAATATGGCTCCTCTTTGAGCAGTTTGGGTTGCCGACCCCTGCACTAGATGGACCTAAACGGAGGGGTTAAAGCTGACCAACTAACAATTATTACCCCATTCGCAATGGACGATAAACCAGTTCAAACCCAGGAACAAGGGGCTTCCGGTGGCAGTGGGTCCAGCTCACTGACGCGCGTCTACCCGGGTCAAACGACTCGGCAAGCGACCTTCGTGGGAACACCAGTGTTCTGTCAGACCAGCATGTCCCATCGGACCAGCATACCCTGTCGGACCAGCATACCCCGTCGGACCAGCATACCCCGTCGAACCAGCATACCCCGTCGAACCAGCATACCCCGTCGGACCAGCATACCCCGTCAGAACAGCATACCCATATTAATACGCATGCAGAAAGGAACATTTAAACAACTTCTGTTAAAGTTGCAAATCGGCCAGTTAAGATCAGTATTCAGTTAACCGCTGTATGACAATCTGACAGGTTAGCTGCTGCGTCCGGGTGTGAAGCAGCGAACATATAAAGTCAGATTCTCTGTATTTAAAGCAGTTTAGCTTCAAATTCTCTTTACCTCAGATTAAAACTTTTTTTCATTACATCACACATAAATAAACTAGCCGACTTGATAATAAAGTAGCCTAGTAGACTTCCTTCGACTGATAGTGTCAGATGAATGCTAATCTGACAACTTCCTCTAGCATATTGCTTATGAGTATGCTGGTCTACCACCTACAAGCTGAAGGTGGTCGATCACCTAGAAGCTGAAGGTGGTCGATCACCTAGAAGCTGAAGCTGGTCTACCACCTAGAAGCTGAAGGTGGTC